AAGAAGCGATAACATTAGAACGATCCCTACGACGTAAGTATCGCTATATCGTCTCTCTTTTTCTTTGTAGTTTGAGTTTTGGAAGATACTTAATAGTTAAGAAAACGTCTACATTCCGTATTTAAGCTTTTAAATATCAAGTAAGGCTGATAAATTCATTTCCTAATAGTTAGAACTCACGGGACGGTGATCGAAAGCCGTGAGTTCGATTTATTTCACTTTTAGTGGACTGTTTTGTAGTCCACTCATGTTGGCCTATTGTGCTGCTGATTTATGGAGTTTGGAAGGATGAAGGGCGTGGAGAAATGCCACATGTGGTAGGGTAGTAGTCTGGTCGCTTGTCGTTGCAATTTCAGGCTAATTAATAACTTGTTGATTGGGTGTGTTATGGTATATTTGGGGTTTTTGTTGTATTGAAGATCCCGAATTGTAGTTGTATTATTTTTTGAGTTTCTGATTGTATTGTGTTTGTATCTAGCTATAGTAGGCTTGAGGGAGCAGTAAAATCAGGGGAAATGCTGCCCGTTTTATTTTAGAATCGAGTTATCGTTTGAGATACGTGATATACTAGCGCCATCTAAGTTGTACATGTATTTCTTTGTTATAGGGTTGGCGCACTAGTTGTCGTAAGCTTGTTATTGAGTTGCATTGATGACTTGAGGTATGTTAACTCTATCCCTTCTTTACTTTTGGCATGATCCATATGATACAACGAAATGAGCAAACACACAACTTTCACAAATGACTTTATTCTTAGAAGTACTAGGGGTGCCTATGTTCATGATTCCCCATGTGTCCTATTATTATATCGTCTGTTCATGGGTCTCAGAAAATACGTAGGTTGATAAAGTTTATTTGATGATATTAACCGAAGGCATATTGATCTCATGATATTCTTAGAGATCTTATTGACTTACTTCATTATGCATTGCATTCATTTATACATGTATATTGACCCATGAACAGATTGCGTTATATACGCATATAGTATATATATATGGGGTATGGGGAAAGGTTATGACGTTATATACGCACCACCACCTGATCTGCTGATATACGTTGATGATTTTGCCCACAGAGTCCAAGATGATATGATGGGATGCCCTCAGAGGCTTGATGATGTTACATACGCATATATCTATGCATGATATGACATTTATACGCATATTCATGACATTATAAATGTTTCATGATTCACAGAGCTATTCAGACTTACAGGTTGAGTTCTTTATTCCATGTTTCTTTCATGTCTTTATATACAGCTTTCATGCCATACATACTCAGTACTTTATTTGTACTGACGTCCCTTTTTCCTGGGGACACTGCGATTCATGCCCGCAGGTCCCGATAGACAGGTTGAGAGTTCTCCTAGTAGGCTATCAGCTCAGCGGAAGGTGTTGGGGCACTCCACTTGCTCCGGAGTTGCCTATTTGGTCAGTATGATTTGGACATGTATTGATTGGTATGGCGGATCCCTGTCCCGACCTTTATGACGTTTATGTACTCTTAGAGGCTTGTAGACAGATGTCATGTTAATGGATATTTGTATGGCCTTGTCGGCCTATGTTTTGAGTGTACAAATGATCATGTCGGCCTTATAGGCCCGTATGTCACATGTATAAGTTTCTATATCATATTGGGTCGTCCTATGTCTATTATTCCCTTATGTTTTATTTCGGTTGTCTCATGACGGCCCTTATGGCCCACTTACCCATGATGGTATGATAAGAAAGATATGTTACATTGGTACTCGGTTGTGTAAGACACCAGGTGCCCATCGCGGCCCTACGGTTTGGGTCGTGATAAAATAGTGGCCAATTATTCATGGAATAACTGATACGATTTACTGTGTCCATATCGTTCGTACAGAAAATCAAAAGAAATGTAAGACTTCTTCAGATAACTCGGTTTTTCATTTTTCTTGATCCCAAACATTTTCGGAAAACTATGGGGTGTACTGTTTTCAGGTACCAGTAGACTGGGACTATCCCAACGGATTCTAGAAAAACCTCCAATTTCTTCCAAGAGTGGGGTCATCTCCATGTTTTTGAAGAGAAATACAACCCTCTTCTCGTCTCAGAACATGGTAGTAGCCTCAATCAGCTCTCTGCATGGCTGAATGTCAATCAAGGATGGCAAGTTGCCTAATATCCTTCTCACATGATTCCTATCACATTGAGGGAGGTCGTTCCACCAATCGTTCAACTTGGATGGAATGCTCTGGACCATACCGAACCTAGGAATGTCATGCTTTATTTTCTGCATTAGAATAAAGAGTTAGCCCTACCCTCACCCGATTTGATTAATTAAGCGATAATAGTCAAATGTTGGCACATTTTCTCTAAGTAATGCACATAATATCAATGTATTCCTCGGGATTGTAGAGATTCCTTTGGACTTTGGACAAGGTATATCTGAACGGATTTAATTCGCCACGGGTATTTGATCCGTCCTAGGCTTAACATGATGCATGCAAAGTTTTGATCAGAGTAGGCTTCTAAGTGTCTAACCAGTACTCTCAAGCAAACAACTTGAGAGGAAAAGGCACGGGATCTTCGTCTGCACTACTGATTGACTAGTCTACCGCTAATAAGCCTTTCTAGTTTTAAAAAGGCATTTTCGGAAAGCGTGGATACTCATCAAACGCTGCTATGTTGATAATAGGTACGAATGGAATATGATGTTGAAAGCATGCTTATGAAAAAGCGGTAACATATAGCCAAGTAATTTACATGGTAAAAAAACATATAAGGACGGTATTTGGTAATGTGGTAAAGAAGTAAGGGAGAAAAATAAAGAAAAAAAAATAGTCAGCCCGGTTATCAAATAATTATAAAATTCGAGAAACATGATGGAACAGTAAAACATATAAAGGAGAAGGGAAAGTGAATTTCACGGTATACCAATTTGGCGCAAATAAAGGGACAGGGAAAAGGAAGTACATGAATAAAGCAACTTAATAATCCCACACAAGCAAAAGTTCATTATGGTAAGAGCCTAAGTATTCCAGCATAGTTGCCATGCTGTCGCACCCCATTTGCTCGCAAAACTGGATTTCGACATGTTACAACTCTTTTAAAGGGTATTAAAAGAGAAGAATCGTCACCTAACGATTTTACGGTGTGTTAGGGAACATATTTGCATGTAACTCTGGTTAAGACTAGTCTTCACTACCAAAGATCAGGTAAGGTCTCAAATTACCTCGAAAAGAAGGTGTTAGACACTCTTTGAGGTCCACAACTGTGCTTCCCGGCCGAATTTTAAAACTATGTGGAAATATTAGTTTATTAACTTAGTTATCCTAGGTGGACATACGAATTGCTTAATTATTAAGCTAGCTTAATAAATAGGTGACTAGATAGATACAAATTATTCTAGGTGGAGCAGAAAGATCAAATATAGTTCAACTACTAATAATTGACTAATTAGAAGAAGTAATACAGAGATAATACAAAGATAATAATTTGGAATGGAACAAGAGAATACTTCATCAATTGACTAATAATAATTGATAAAACCTTTTGGTTACAAAGATTTTCAACCTGAGGACTACTTGAAAAAATATTCTTAATAATACTAATCACCAAGACTAGATATACACGGATAAATAGACATAGAGGGGGGGGGGGGGGGGGGGAAGAACAGTTCCTAAACCCTCCTAAATCCTCTCCAAGGNGGGGGGGGGGGGGTGGAGGAGGGAGTCCTAATATTTTTAGCATAAAGGATCATCCCGTGCAATATAAATAATACTTCGTAGTCTTAAGTGCAATGGTTGCTCGTACTATCCAGCGAGCACATACTATCATCTCCAGCTACCTGATTACTATCTTTAAGTTGTTTGCCTAAAGCGCACAAAGTCTATTCCAAGTCGTACCATATATGTGCCTACCCATCCCATGCCTATTATCTAGGAGGTATTAGACAACTTTAAGGGTGGTTCTAGACTCATCCTAGGGCTGCTAAAAATTAAAAACTAGGCGCAGAATAGTTTAAGCAAGTAGGAGTTCAAAGAAGCACAATTAGCATAAAGGGGCTCAAGTTTACCTCCACAGGTTTTGACGACCAATTTTGACCCTCCCTTTTATAAATTTAATTATTTATGCTTATTAATTGACAATGGATGTGATAAAATATTTGTAATCAATAATACTTATTTTTCCTAAAATATAATAGGTAATAATAGTTAATATTGAAAAACAAAATTAATAGTTAATATTGTTGAATTAATAGCAATTTAGTATTAAATTTATAAATGTTATTACCCTTACTATTTTGAACTATTAAAATAACTCTTATGTCTTAATAAAAAAGTTTTACAATTAATTTAATGAATTAGTCCTTAATTTATAATTATATTGTCTTGTTTACGTTAATTAGCAAATATTAGTTTCATAATTCAATAAATAAAGTATTTTATAAATAAATAATTAGTTACAGTAATTTATAATGTATTTGATTAAAATATTTTATCTTATTTAATTAGAATTAATTTAGTTCAATTAAGTTAATTTTAAAGGGGTTAAAAAGTTCAAAAGGCTATAATTGCAATTAATCAACTAAACTCAAAGTGGCTATGGCTTAAATTCTATTTCAGATGTTCTTGGCCCAAACACACGAGCCCAAACCCCTGACCTGGTCCAAACCAACCTCCTCTATCCTATGTTGGCGATCTGTGTCACCCAATCTGAACCAATTAACAAATGCCACATCACCCATCTTCAATACTGACAAAAGAAGCACAAATGAATTTGGATCATTGATCCAACGTATCAACGGTCCATAATTAATCTCCATTTTTCTTTTATTTTGAATCCCTTTTCAGATCTAATTCCAACCATTGGATCACAAAGATCCAACGACCGTCCATTTTTCTCATAATAAAACTTTATTTAACTCTTATATGCTGAAATATTAGGGCCGTTGATCAAACAATCCAACGGTCCAGATTCAGTCGTGCACTTTATACCAACCAAACACCCCTAAATCCTCATTCATTCCCAACCTTACCCGACATCCTCTCTTTCCCAAATCTCTCTCATTTCTCTCACTATCCGACCCTGCCAGTCACAAATCATTGCACAATTCGCGCAAGGTCACAAATTCAAACCCCAAATCACTCAATTTGTCCCCTACATCCACAAATCCTGTCGATACTTCCATTTTCATTACCAAAATCCAAAAGCCCTAATTTGAACACTAGACCTAAATAGTTCTACTGAGAACAGTCTGTTCTCCCATCGTTTTTTCAAATCCATGGCATGCATGACCGTGTCTTTGACTTCATTATCATTATTTGACCTCTGGACATTTGGGCTTTGTACGATGGGTCTTCGCCTTCAACGGCCATCTCCTCGTGCCCAGGTAAATACGTGTTACTTTTTCCCTTTGTTCTTCACTAATTTCACCTCTATTGATGTCATCATCCGACTATCGTCACCTTCCACTACCGATTTAAAATCTAATCGGAACCCTAAGGCTTAATGCCACTATAAACGAGGCATTCAATGTCCTCACCTAACACACATCTAATACAATCAGAAACACAAAAGAAAGAAAAGAAAAGGATTAAAATTTGAGGTTTTCTCGCTAGTCCAATAATAATCTTTGATTTGTTTTGTTTCCTTTATCTTTTATTCTCCGGTATGAGTTTCAACAGCTGTTGGTCTTGAGTTTGGATCCTTAAACAACTGTTGAATTGCCTCTACTTGGTTTGCTGCTCGATAGAAGGTAAGTACATATTGACCCCTTTTTACTTTGAATTAATCGTTTGGTTCTATGGTTTCCTAGTTATTTCTCTAATTGTTCGTGCTAGATATTAAACTATGTTTATCATGACTTGCCTCATATATATATATATTGTTTTCACCGTTGAGTTAGGGATTTTTTGATCAAGATATGTTGTATTGTTATCAAACCTATGCTGTCGAATTCTATTCTTATCATATGATTAATAAAAAATGCCTCTATGTTAAATGATGCTCTTGTGGTCAAGCCTCTATGACTATTTAAAGTAATCTCCATGTTGTTTTTGTGTATAACTGGCCTCTGTTAGTAAAGTAACACTCGTATAAGCTTTATCATGTTAGCTGAGCCAGTTGAATCATATTCTTGAACTTTTCTTTGTGTTTCTGTATCCAGATCAACTTGATCCTCCTACTTGTGATATTGTACTGTTCTTATAAATATTTTTCCTGAAGCCTATGTATTTTACCTGATAACTAGCTGATAAGTTTGTAGTTGATAACTTGCCTATTCTGCATATTCAATGATCCATATATGGCTATTATTCTTTTATCCTATTAAAGCTTCATTGATCTAGATCCTATGCTGATGATGTTATATGTATTCTTTTCTGCTAACCTAGTAGTTGTGATAAAATTAGGCTTCTAAAATCTTTCTTGAGAACACTGTTAATACTTGCCAACACTAAGCCATTTGATATTTGTAATGTTTTGCTGTTCTGATTTAGTTCTTACCTCTCATATTAACTTGTTAGACTCTAAATAGCAGCCTGCTTATGTCATTGTAATAGCTCTATGTGCCCTCTGTGATGACTTAAAACCATGTAATGAACCTTGTTAATGTACGAAGGAACTTGCATTCATGACTAAACATAACTTGATTAGGATAAAACTCTACAGTGAGTACTGAAACTTGCCATCTGGTGACTGTTTGAGTTGTATGAGACTTCTGTTGTTATGTTATAAACTTATTGTACCTGAATGCACACCTGCCATTATTAATTTGGTTAAGTTCACAGACTATCACCTGACTTTAATTTGAAGGATTATATGTTTGCACCTATGTGTCACAATTCTGATCTTACCGTGGTAATACACTGGTCTGAGTTTATGATTATTGTTTGTCAAAAGGCATGTCTCTAATGCTTAGGATGATCTGTTATCATGACTCTCACAGCTAGGCTTAGCCATGACTTCGCACTATCCTGATCCCTATATGTCTGTCAAGTTAACTTGTATCCAACCATGTGTAGAGCTTTGTTGAGATACTATGCTAGTGAACCTATTTACATGCCCAACTGTTAGCTCAGTATGACCTGTTTGCCTTGATAAGTTAACGGGAATGTCACTCACCAGCTAAGCTTACTCTTAACTATACTGAAGCAAAATTGCATATGCACTGTTCTTATACTCTGAACCTACATAAAAGAACTCTGAGCATCAAACCTACAGCGAAGATAGTAAAATACGTACTTGAACTCATCCTTTCATAGTGCTGGACAATTACTATTTCTTAGCCGAAAGACATGAGTAATGAAGTATGCCTATTGCTTGCATTTTTGTTATCTTGTGTGATTATGTCCCAATAGTGACTCATGCCTACTGTAGTGTCCTGTTCTTATACTCTATGCTTGATATGAGGTTCTCTAAAGTCAATATTGTGCCCTTGGTTGTTTTCTATGCTTTGATAATGAATTACAATATTCCATTGGTTCACAGCTGCTGAATATTTGTGTGTTTGAACCTTTACAGAATTTACAATGACTTCCACATCTACTGTTTATGTCTTGGCAGTATGAAATTGCTCTGTTGATTCTTTATTTGTGTTTAAGCCTTTGAGAAAGAATATAAGTAAGTGGTTAATGGTATTTGGGTGTGAAACCTAGTTGTGAATAAGGCACCCTTCCCTGACACAATCACTGCTCGGGGTCCATAAGACACTCGTGAACTCTGAAGTGCGAGGGGTTCACAAGAGTATTTTATCCATAAACAAAGATTTAACCAAAGACTTTAATTACTAACTCCTATTAATACTCATAGGATTAACATAAATAACATCTGTCCCATCGCATTCTTTAGTTCTTTTTCTTTTTTGTCTTAATCTCTATCTTATTTTATTTTTATATTTGATATATACTAAATTGTCTCTTATTTCTTTCTGTACATGCCTCGAATTGGGCTCACAACCCAATTGCAAATACAGCCTGCTCCTTCTCCATGCATTGTGGGTCTGCTACCTTGATTCAAATCCTGCTTGGCCTAGCTAGCTTATCAGCCTAACAGTCAAAGAGTCCACCTTCTTCCTTCCTTTACCTTTAATGATATTCATCGATGTTTGCTACTTTACATGTAAATATATCTCTGAATGACTAACTTTTCTATTGGATAAATTTTGATATTTTGATTATCTAGGAACATAGGCAAACCCCAACTAGTAGGTAAAAGCTAAAGTAAGAATCCTGCTCGCCTTAGTTTATTTTGATCGCTAATTTGAAGCTTAATCTTTTTAGTAAAATAAAAGTTTTATCTTGTTGTACTAACAATTTTCAATGAGTTCTTGACTTCGACAGATTCAAAAGCAAAACGGACCCTCTTGAAAATCAAAACTTCGAAAATAATTGCTAAGGTATTTTCAAGAAGAAAAACCAAACACAACCAATGCTTATAAATTAACGGTCCTCAACGAGTTTCAAATACAAGATTTCTGTTGAAATTGTAAGGTATACCCATCCCAATTTGAGGTATATCTTCAAATACTTCTCTTATTCTATTAAGTTTTAAAAACCACATTTTCCAAAACACAACTTTTCTTCAAACAAAAGATTTCTTACAAGATTTTTTCTCGAAAATAAAGCATATCTAGTTTCCAACTTAATAAATGTACATATATATTTTAAAGGGCGATTTCTTTTCAAGATTATAAAACTCAAGAACTTGAACTTATTTTCAAAGTACATATACATACCTTTTCTTTAATAGTGAACTTTTAGGATATTTTCACGGTCTTTAAAAATATTACTAAGCAGAATATAGACATTCTTTCTTCGGACCTAGACTAAGACTAAAGGGCTACCTCAGGTAGATTTTAAAGGGTGCCTAACATCTTTCCCTTGGAATAACTAGAACCCTTACCCGAATCTCAGCAGTTAGCAGGCCGTTAGGATAATGATCTTATAAACTCATAGGTACCCTAATATACCTTAAAATATTAGGTGGCGACTCTCTTTAATCAACTTCAGATGAACCATTAGTTGTATTTTGTTTTGACTAGTGCAAAATAGGGTGCAACACTTAGATTCTGACCTTAACAGATTTAGGCTAGACTTGAACTTTGAGGATGTTTGTTATATTCTACTTTAATCATGCTTAACCTGCAGATACATGTTTACTTGCTTTATTTTACTTTCTTATTCTTTTCAACATGCTGCACATGCTTACATGTTTACTTACATTTACCGCTTTACCACAATTATCTGTTACTGCTTTCTACACTGTCATCACGTCTCTCCAATTGAGTCTTTGCCGTATACAATCACACACAAATGACACGCGAGGGTTGTCTTTTACACCCTTCCAAACCTTCATTCAAAACTCTCTAATTTTAGAGAATGACTTTGTCAGGTCAACTAACAAAACGTTTTGTAGTTATTAAGTCCAACTCCAACATTAGGAAACATTTTACTCTTAGCATACATAGGTCATGCTGCATAAACCTTAGGTGAGTTAGTCCTTGGTATTGACTCACGATTAGAAAAGTCATCTTAATAACAATGGGTCATGCACCCAACGATATGCCTTTTGTGGAATGACGAACCAATCCACATAAGACACTAAAGATCTGAATCAAAAACTTACCAAACCTTTCACCTCTTTAGATGAAAATCAACCGTAACGTCCCCGAGATTAACATGGTCATGGGTTAACCTTACAAGTTAAAGTAGTGGTGGAGGAACATTCGATGGGAACACGGGAACGAGATAGAATACACCTGGGAGCACTGACCGCCTTGATGAACATCGGAGCTGACAAAGTCTTTACTAGGCTGCTAATAGATGTTTGGGACCCGGCCAATGTGGTCTTCAAATTTTTTAATTGTGAGTTGACGCCAATACTAGAGGAGATTACCAGCTTCACGAAGTTACCATTCGCTGGGCAAAAACCAATACTGCTGGTTGTCCTGCCAGACAAGCAATACATGTTCCTTCATGCACTAAGTCTGACAAGCAACAAGAAATTGAGAAGCGTCGAAGATGGACGGGTGAGTTTGGACCAGCTATTTGACATATTCGGACACCAGGAGAGCTATGAGTGGCATCTTGAAGAATTCCAGTGCGATCAAGTAACATGGGAGAGCCTCCGCCCCTTATCCTTTTCTTTGGCATTGTTGGGACTGTTGTTTTTCCCATAAAGAAAGGGAAGAATCAATATCAACCTACTGCCCCTGGTGTTAGCAACCTTCCGGGGAAATTTGCAACTCACCCTCATTCCTATGATACTATCAGAGACATTCCGAGCACTATAAGCATGCTCAAGAGGATATGATTTCATCAGAGGCTACAACTTGCTACTCCAGATATGGGCCACATAACACTTCTTTCAGAGGGAGGAAACCGTTCAATACTTTATTGGCATCAGTAACATGATCTACAACCATAATGAAATGATGAGGCTTTGGACTACACCGCATGGCCAGGAGTAATGGCGGAAAATGTTGGCCCATCTGAGTGAGGAATGCATAAATTAGAAACTTTCATGGTTAGGTGGCAGAGCAATCTTGAGAAGCCCAGGGAAGTACTTCATTGAGTTGGTAGGATTGGAAGGGATTTAGCCGTAAGCACATCCGAGGGTTCTAAGCAATTTGTTCTAATTCAAGATGTGCCTCGCTGGTCAAGGACATCAGATAAATTCTGATTTCTGTGACGACCCAATAGGTCGTTTTGTGGTTTAGCCCTTATTTTCATGTTTTGGGACCTCCACTAGCTTAATTTGGTGATTCTTGATTTGTGTGCATGGTACGTGTATTTTTATGGAAAGTTTTTACGTAAAACATTGAAAAAAATATGATTTTTGGCTTTAAAAATAACTTGAGTTGACTACGGTCAATATTTTGGATAAACGACCCCATATAGATGTTTTTGACGATTATGGTAGGTCCCTATTGTGATTTTGGACTTAGGCGTATGCCTGGAATTAAATTTGGAGGTCCTTCGGTTAATTTGATTCGTTTTTCTGAATGTTAGCAATTTGACTGTTTGTAAAATTTTTAGGTTTGACCGTAGGTTGACATTATTGCTATTGGGTTAAGTTTTTGTAATGGGACTTGGAATAGGTCCGTTTTTCTATTTGAAACTTGTTTGCAAAATTTAGTGCAATTCAGAGTTGGTTTGATAGGATTCAGACGCTTGGTTGTGATTCTAGAAGTTCTTAAGTTTTCTCTTGAATGTCATGTGTTTTGATGTCCGATTTTTGGTTCTAGATGTTCTTTTGGTGTTCTTATTGCACCATCGAGTTTATATGACGCTATTACACTTGTGTGCATATTTGTCTTGGGGCCTGAGGGGCTCGGGTTAGTTTCAGATAAGCTTCAGACCATTTTTGAACTTGTGCAACAATTATTTCTGGTTCCTGGTGCATTGTGCTTCGCGATCACGAAGGGAAAATTTGGGGTTAGGGCTGGTTACTCTCCACGAACGCGAGAGAAGGGCTTCAAATGCGATGGCTTAGGGGGACTGCCTTTTGCAAATGAGATGGACCACTTGCGAACGCGTAGAGTTGGGATGGCTAGGGAGGCAGGTGATGGTTTCTCTTCGTGAATGCGGACCAAGGTTTGCAAATGCGATGGCTGGCTGGGAACTTAGCCTTCGAGAATGCGAAGAGAACCTCGCCAACTCGAAGGCCATTTTGGTCACTGTTCTTCGCGAACGCGTTAGGTGCTTCGCGAATGCGAAGAACACCTGATGCCGAGATATTTAAAGTGCTGAAAGTCGGGGTTGAACCATTTTTTACAATTTTTGAAGCTAGAGCTCGGCCTAGAGGAGATTTTGAAGAGAATTTTCATTCCCACTTCATTGGTTAGTGATTTTCAATTAGTTTTGATGTATTTCCATTATCACCCATTGATTTCTAACTTTTAATCTATGAATTCCATGGTAGAAATTAGGGATTTGGGTAGAAATTAAGGATTTTACAAAATTGAAATTTAAACCTCAAATTGAGGTCAGATTTCAAAACATATCACTGGGATCGGGGGTGAATGGGTAATCGGGTTTTGGTTCGAATCTCGGGTTCTGACCAAGCGGGCCTGAGGTTAACTTTTGTTGACTTTTTCCAATTTTATCAAAGATTGAATCTTTTTCACTCGTGGGTAGTTTCTAAAGCTTATTTTGAATTATTTGAACTATATTTGGCTAGATTTGACCGTTTTGGAGGCTAATTCTAAAGGAAATGCCGTGGTTGAGTATTTATTTGATTGCGGAAAGAGGTAAGTGTTGGGCCTAACTTTGACTTAAGGGAATTAGGATTTGATTGGTTTAATTTCCACTTGATTTATGTGTGGGGACGGCGTATATGCTAGGTGATGAGTGTATATGCATAGTCGCGGGTTAAGCATGTGGGTTGGGATATTTATTTATTGTTTTCAATTATTTCATTCCTTTTATTTAATCCATGTTATTAATTGTTAATTGCAATTACTTGTTGAATTCATTACTTTATCTGTTACGTACCTTAATTGTTAATTGATTCTTTGTATCCGTGTCTTTATTTATTTACTGTCATTACTTGCTATTTGTAACAACCCAGCTGGTCATTTTGTGAATTGTAGCCCTGTTCCCCTTTTTATCACTTCTTCTATGTTAGTTTGTTGTTATGTGACCTGCCAGGGTAGTTGGTTTAGTTTCGGGGAAGTTTCGGAGTGAAATGGGAAACTTAATCCCAAGGTTAAAGGCTTAAGTTGAAAGAGTGACTTAGGCGTATGTCCGAATATTGATTTGGAGGTCCGTAGGTTGGTTTGAGGCTTTTTGGTGAAAGTTGAAAAGTTGAAGATTTGGAAGGTTGAGAGGTTTGACTAAGAGTTGACTTTGTCGATATAGGCTCGATTTCGATTCCGGGAAATGGAGTAGGTCAGTTGTGTAATTTATGACTTATGTGCGAAATTTGAGGTTATTCGGAATCGGTTTGATATGATTCAGCATTAGTTTTAGAAGTTAGAAGTTCATTAGTTCATTAGGCTTGAATCGATGTGTGACTCGTGGTTTTGGTATTGTTTAATATGATTTGAGACTTCGAGCGAGTTCTATTGTGTTTGAGAACTTGATGGTATGTTTGGTCAGGGTTCTGGGGGCCTTGAGTGTGATTCGGTTGGTTGGCGAAAAATGATGGTTTTGCCCTAACTGCGAGGCCGTAGAAGCGG